GATCTTTAGCATGCCACTGCGTCTGAGCGAGGCGGCATTTTGCTCCCTCAACGGGCAATTGTCTGGACCTCCTTTAGCTGCCTCTGTTACGGATGTCGATTATCAGTCTTAGTTTGGGAGCAGTATGTCTCAAAGTTGCCAAAACTAGAACCTAACATTTTGGGGTTAAAGCCATGCGTCTGTAACAGGCCACTTCCCTCAGGACAATTGTCCTGGCCTTGCTGTTACATGCACTCTGTACGGCATGTGATAGCAGCTTAGTTCCGGCGCGTCAGCCAGTGTGCAAAACAGGCCAACGATTTTTCAAAGACATTTCTGAGCGTTCGGACCACTTTGAGACAATACTGCTCCCAAACTAAGACTGAAATCGCACTCCGTAACAAGGCATGCTAAAGAGGTCCAAGACCAATTGCCCGTTGAGGAGGCGAAATCCGCCTCGGTCAGACGCAGTGGCTGCTTAAAATGGCCAAACACGATTTTTCATAGACATTTCTGACCGTTTCGGCCACTTTGAGACAATACTGCTCCCAAACTAGACGATAATGCACTCCGTAACAAAGGCATGCTAAAGGAGGTCCAAAGACCAATGCCCGTTGAGGGAGCCAAATGCCCGCCTCGGATCAGACGCAGTGGCTGCTTCAATCGGCCCAAACACGATTTTTCAAGACATCTGAGCGTTCGGCACAACTTTGAGCAATCTGCTCCAAACTAAGACTGATAAGCACTCCGTACAAAGGCTGCTAAAGAAAGGTCCAAAGCCACGCCGGTGCCAGGAGAAGCAAAGCCCGCCTGGATCAGACGCAGTGCTGCTAATCGGCCCAAAACACGACCCCAGCTACTCGCCGCGACCCCTTAAAATTTTTTCGCGACCCCACTTGGGGTCGCGACCCTAAGGTTGAGAACCACTGGGCTAGTCGCACGACGCGAACACGCCGCCTGCTCGAGGCTGGGCTGGGCTGGGCTGGGGCTCTTCCGAGCGGCCCCCGCAATGCTTTCTTTATTTCGTTCAGTCGAAAACGTCCGGCGAGAAGAGCCCAAAACGCGAGTTGCCTCTGGTACTACAGGGACCACAGTGTGGGCCCGGGGCCAGGGCCCGGTGACGAGTCGGTCGGCTGTCCGCGACCGCAGCGCGCCGCGGACGCGGACGTCAGACTGACAGCCGCCCACGCCAACCTGCTGCTGAGTGAACGACCTCACCCAATGGCCGGCGGGGCGGGCGAGGCGGGCGGGGCGCGGTGCTATCGCTCGTACGACCTTTCTTTTTGGCTGCCACGGCCACGTTTCACCCGCTCTTGAATCGGCCGAAAATTTGTCCGACCCCGTTTCATCCGACCTACGTTTGCTCCACATTTCTTCATCCTCGGGAACACTTCAACAACCCAAAAAGCATTGCCCGAGAGAATTTCTGCAGACCAAGCGCATTTCTTCTGCCCAAGTGGCCGAGACCGAGAAACCCCGGCGCGGCCAGCCAACGGCCAGCGCGCAGCCCTGACCCTAGGAGGGGTCATGGTCGCCGCTCGGGGCTCGGGGACTGTCAGGGACGCAGGGCAGGCGAACGGCCGCAGGGAGGCCGCGTCTCGTGCGCGGACCTGACTGGCCTGGCCACAGCCCGGGCGTGGCTCGGGCATGGCTCGGGCCTGCATGAATCAAGGGGCGGACAGGAGGGTGACTACTAGTACGGCCGTACGGCCACGGCGCGACGGCCATGGCCAGGCCATGGCGGCCCCACGGCGGCTCGCACGCCTGCTGCAGCCGGCTTGCTCGCCGGGCCGCCGGGCTACGCCGGGCTACGCCGGGCAGGGCACCGGGCGGCCAGAGTGCGGCGGACAGGCGAAGCAGGCGAAGGCACAGCGCGGCCGTTGCCCCGCCGTACAACAACCTTGGCGTCCGAGAGAGGCCGGCCGGCAGCGCGGGGCCCTGCCGCCCTGCCGCGGCCCGGCATCGTGGCGCTACCAAAGAGTGAGAGTGAGAAGAGGAGAGAGACGGCGGCAAATAAAAGGAGTGCAGGGCGGGCAGGGCCAGGACACGACACGACACGGAGGGGGTAGTGCCTGTCGGTTTATCTGCCCGTCTTGTCTTCGAACCCACCGGAATGCCGCTGGCTGGGGTGTGGGGCGGCGGGGAGGGGCCCGGGGACCCGGGGGGGCTAACTCTAAGGACCTGAGGTGCGCCTGCGCGGTGCCGAGGTGCCACGGCCGGCGACAACAACATTGCCCGTGACGGGCCCCGCGCCGCGCGCAGCCGCCACTGCGTTTCCCAAACCCGGGCGGGCCATTCAGAAGTACGGACAGCCCGCCGCGCTATTTCGAGCGGCGAGGCGGCCGGCCTGCAGCGCCCGTCCGTCTGTCTGGCCGCCGCCCAGCGCCCTTCCCCGACCTGACGCGCCGCCGCGCCGGACAGACACACAGGCCGACTCCAAGAGCGCGCGGCGAGAGGCGAGGGGGCGGGCGGGGGGCGGGATCGTCGCCCCCCGCGTCCCCGCGCGGCGCCCCAGAGGACGTACGCCACGCCATCAAACTGCCCCCTCCCCCTCAATAAGAATCTTGGACGAGGAAGGCCGACCGGCTGGCCAGCGCACGGATATAAATAGCTCGAGGGTTTGCCGGTTTGGCGCGCGTCGCCGCGGCTTTAAATCAAAACAATAACCTGCAGCGAAGCAGCGAAGGAGTGCGCATCGACGCGGCGCGGCGGTGGCGAGCTGTCATGTCACGAAACGCCGACGCGCCGCGCGCGACGCGACATCGGCAAGGGCGTCGGGACGGCGGGGCAGTGGCCAGCCAGCACCGCGTCGTCGGCGCGCTCGACGCCCTCACGCGCAGACGTCGCGGCGACGGCGACGACGACGTGGGAGGGCAGTCGCCACGCGCTTTGCGAACAAGTACAGTGCGGTGACCACGACGACAGGGCTTCTCCGCGCTTCCGCACGCAGCGACTGGAGGGCGGGCCGCACATCAAGGAGAGTGTCGCGAAAGAGGGACGCGAGGAGAGGCGATCGGACGGCGGACTCTCCCCGTTTCGGGCCGTACTAAGGGGAACTCGTTGTCACACATGCGCGCAGTCACTCAGTGACTCTAAAACACACACACGCTGGCGGCGTGACACTGGCCGTGCCGCGGCAATTACAAACAGAGCTCGATGGCGCGTGGCTCCGCGTCGCTGGCACGGCGTGCTGGCGAGGCTGGCGGCCGCCCCGCCCCGCGCCATCAGCATTGCAGATGAGGAGGGCCAGGAGGGCCTCTGGGCCGGCCTGCAGGCCTGCATGGCGGCGGCCAGCGACAGGTGCCACTCGCACGCGGGCCAACCAAGCAACCCCCTACGCGCCCCGCGCCCCTACCGCCACACCACCCCGCGTGCCAGCACACCGCGACACCCCCGAACCGTTCAGCACCGCGCGCCAAGCACGCTATGAACCCCATGGGCATCGTCACCGCGCACACATGCATATTCAAAGCCAGGCTACACGCAACGCGCGCGCCGCGCTCGCACGCAGGGCGACAGAGTTAGTCATTACCGGCGCGCGGCGTCGTTGACGGCGTCGTCGGCGACCTCGTTGGCCGGCCGCGTTCTTGCAAGTCGTGAGTTTTTTTTTCGGCGGCCCCGCGTCGCCAAAAAGGCGGAGCAAAGCGCTGCCTTGGACATCGCCTGTTTCCCTCTCGGAATCCGTACGACGGCGAGGCAAGGCGAGGCGACGCGTAACGCACAGGTCGAGTTACACCAGTCACTTACTCCCCACCCCCTCCCCCGCGCCTTCCGGGGCCCTTACGAATGAGCTATCCTGTGCGGTCAGCGCGCGGGGCCGCATCGGGGGCCGTGGCGGGGGCCGTCCGTAAGCGCTCCCACGCCGTTCCAGTCCACTCCCCAGTTCCGTACGCCGAGCCCATGTGGCTGTGCGCCCAATGGGCCGAGCCCAAAGTGCGGCCGGCCCGCCTGGCCTGGCCCTTCAGCGGTCCACAACGGAAGCCGTACAGCGGGGAAGCGGGGAAAGGGGGGAGGGGTGGTGTGAGGTCGCCGGCCGGCGGCGCGGGGCGCTGGGCCTGCGCTGGGCCTGGTTGTTGGCGGAGTGCTGTCAGGCGCAACCGCGGCACCGCGGCCAAGCCGGCGAGGCTGAGGCTGCTCACTGCTCAGGGGGGCGGGGCACCGGCACCGCCAGGCACTGCGGCGTCAGCCTCGGCGTCAGCGCGTCAGCAACCGCCGCGCCGCAATAGAAATTCCGCGCCGCTCCGCGTGGAGAACAAGTCCGTCGCCGCGCCCAGCCGCCAAAACCGCGTCAGGCAGAAGCGGCAAGCCGCGGCAAGCGGGCCCGGGCACGGCAGGGCACGCCAGAGAGAAGGGTCGTTACTCCGGAGAGCGCGCGCGAGCGGGACGGGACGGGCACGGCCGAAGAGACGCGCCGCGAGTACCGTGGAGAGGCCAGCGCGGTGCGGCGCGATGCGGCGCGGTGCTGGGTGCGGCAAAGGAGAGGAGAACCTGTTGATCGGATCGAGGTGCGCGCGGCGCGGCGAGGCGCTGGCGTAGCGGCGGTGGGGTGCGGCGGGGCGTGGCCACCGCCCCTAGCGGGAGCCCCAAGGAAGAGCCCCGCCCATACGGCACACTTAACTACCTGCATTTCTTGCATTTGCCGCGGCTAGCCGCACCCCCGCGCCTCCCCAACGCCGCGCCGCCCCGCCCCCCACACCCCCAAAGCACCCCAAAGCCTCGGCACCGCTGAGCTGGCCGCGGAGGGCCCGGGCGCAGTGCGGCCTATCTGCCGCCTGTTGTCCACGTGCAGGTGCAGCGAGGTGCCGCCTGCCCGCGACTTGGCCCAAGACTTGGCCAGGGCGGGGCTTCCCTCCGCCGCGGCACGTCCACCCTCGGCCTAGAGCCTCCGGGACGCCGAGAGGGCCGCGGGGCCGCGCCGGAAGGCTGTGCGCGTACTTCCGTATTTCCGGCCGGCTGTGTCACTGTGTGTCCCTGTGGGCCCGAGGCTGCCCGAGACACAGGGAAAGCTGCTCGATAATTACCACCATTTTGTAGTTCATCTTCCTCTGTTGGGCGGCAGCGTTCTCCATGCGCACCGCCATCCTGGCGGGGAACGGCCGGAACGGGGCCTCACTTCACTGCACTTGTCACTGAACACACACACGCACACACAGACACAGCAGGGCGTATTCCAGTGGGGCTTGCTGCTGGCGTCGTGTCACTCGGTCACTTCAGCCGATCGGCATCCCGCAGGACACCGACGAGGGCAGGCGGGCCGCCTGGCGTGCACGCGCAAGCGCACGCATCACACGCTGCACGGCCGGGTGCCGGCTGGGCGTGGCGGCGTGGCGGCGCGGCGACCACGGGGGGCTGGGTCTGGCCACTGTCTGGCCGCGCGGCGTGGCGGCGCAGCGAGGGGGGCGTCGTCGGCGGGGGCGTGGGCGGGACACTGACACTGTCTGCGACTATCCGACTGTCCACTACATGGTTCGCCTCCAGGCTCGTCGCGTGGCACGTCGCGTGACGGGGCGTGACAGGCGGCACGGGGCAGCACGCGTTGCGGCTCGGCGCGGTGCAGCAGAGGTGACGGTGGACGGGCCACGACTGACGGCACCAAGACCAAGAACGAAACGACGGCGGCGGCAGCGGCGCGGCTCGCCACGGCCCGGCACCCTGCTGCTGTCAGACGGCTAGTTGCGGCGGACGCCACGGGGGGCGCTGCCGTCGCCGCGCGGCACGGCGGCACGGCGGGGCGTGGCGAAGCGTTGGTGCGCTGCCGCCGCTCGCAGCCTAGAGAGCGGGGCCGACTCTGCGCCGGCCGGGGCCGGCCGGGGCCGCGGTTGGGTTGGGGTGCCACCGCCAGCACCGCCAGCACCGCCATGACGTCATACGTCAGCTGACACGCGAGGCGGGGGCGGCGGACTCTGGCGGCAGTGCGCTGCGGTGGCTACAATGAGCATCGACGGGGCCCTCTGCCCTGCTCTGTGCACCGCGAGGGCCGCGGGGGCCGCGAGGGCCGCGAGCCTAAGGGCGCGGCAGGGCAATGGCCGGGAGGCCGCGCCCCCTCCAAGCCCCCCGCCATCCTGGAGAGGGGCCCGCGGCCCGGCAGCCCGCCACACGGCCTTCCCCGCTGGAGCGGCTGGGTGGGGTCCAAGGGTCAGCGCCTCCGAGCGCCTCCGTGTCTCGGGAAGCGGCCGAAGCGGTAAGCTGGCCGGCTATCGGGGAGGCCGAGACCGCCCTGGAGCGAACCGCAACCAGGATAACATTTCCAGCAGATAACATTTGCAGCGTTGCGGGTGAACGGGGTAAATTAGCGGACCAGCATCCTCGGCGTGTACCATTCCCCGACGTTCCACTTCCCGGACTCCCAAGGGACTCCCGTGCAAACGCTGCAGCCCTGCTGCAACCGTCCTGCAGCCCGACGGTCCCGGCCGGACGGCCGGCCGCAGGTTCCAGGACTGGCGAGGAATGCGATGCCCCCTCCTCCCCGCGCAGAGCCGCACTAACCCAACCGGTAACGATTGAAGTGAGTTTGTGTGTACGTCAGGCAGCGTCAGGCCGGATGATAGGAGGAAGACCGGCAACAGCTAAACGGCTTGGCCGTCTTCGTCTTGTCAGTCTTGCCCGGGTCGCCGCGTCTCCCCCCCCCCTCCCCTCCTCTTCCATCGTCTCCTCCGGGGCCGTCCGGGGCGCCCAAGCCTGGAATTCGCAGCCGAGGAGCTAGCGGAACTGACGGCAGCGCCGGCAAAAAGCCATCAAAAGCAGGCGAAGAAAGCCATCTCAATCCCCAGCAGCGGCAGCCCGCTCGCTAGGCGCGCTGCGCGGAGGCTCGCCGTCAGCCCGGCAGGTAGGCCCGCCCGCGCCACAGGGGAGCGGCCCGGCTGCCTACCCGGAAGGCAGCAGGCGGCGGCCGGCCGGCCGGGACTCGAACCAAGGCCGCCAGCTTGGCCGCCAGCTTGGCCGCCAGGCCCGAGGCCGGTGCAGTGCCTTACGCCCGACGTCTCGGCGGCCAAATGACAGCACTACGCTGCACTGCGCTGCACTGCGCGCGCGATGTAACACGGCCTTCCCGGTGTGGTGCGGAACCGGACTCGACCCTCCCCGTAGTCAAGTGCAGCGCGCCATATCTGGAGACGCCCAGCCTCGCTCCGCTCCGAGCACTTGGGCAGGCAGAAGGCAGATCGCTGCCCGGGGCCGCGCACAGCTCGTCTTGGCCGCGTCGCCTTGCCGCGTCTTCAAGGGTATGATAACTAACGGGACGGGGCTGGCGCAGGCTGGCGGCGACGCCACTACGCCCCGCCGCGAGGCTAGGCAGGCCGGCAGGCCGCGGCGTGCATAGCTCGTCCCGCATTCCGCTCACGGAGACGGAGTAGACGGAGTAGGGAAGGGACGCTCACTTGGCGAATCCCCCCTCCCCTCCCTCCTCCCTGGCCGGTTTGCGCTTCTAGACTCGGCGCTGTTCTTCCACTCCAGCATTCCTATATCGACTTGAGGCACGGCCGAGGCACGGCCGAGGGCCCAGGCTCGCTGGCTCGCGGGCCGCGCGTCCTCTGCGGGGGGCCGGGGGCATCCGGGGGGGTCATCAGCTCGACACTGAGGCACTGCCCTGCTCGGCCCGAGGATCGGCCTGCCGGCCTGCCCAGTGCCCACACTGCCCACTGCCCGGATTCCGGGATTGGCTCAGCTGCGCTGCGGCTCCCGCGGCCTTTACATAACGCGTGTACGCACGCCGACATGCCGCGGCGTGGAAGCCGAGGCCAACAGGGTGACCGTCGGACGCCGAAAAGCCAGGGTCCATTTCCGTGGTGAGGCGGGCCTGCCTGTCTCCAGGCGCCAAGGGCAAGGGCCTCTCAGTCCTCTACGGTCGCACCGCACAGACTAACCCGGACTAACCCGCGGACCCGCGCCACCGAGACGGAGACGGTCGCTCGGTCCACGGCCGCCGTTTCAGTCACAAGAGCCGAGCGCTCCAGCTTGGCGAGCCCGTCACCACACGGCAGCCCTAAGCCGCCTAAGCCCTGACGGTCGCTTGAGCCGCTGTGAGCCCCACAGCACCGAGAGACGCTCCATCGCCTCCTGCAGGGCAGGGCCCGGGGGCCCGGGGGCGCGGGGGCTCGAAGCGAGGCGCGCGCCGCGGTACGCTGTACGCCGGCCGCGGCAGACAATTGGCAACGGCGACGGCAGAATGTGATGGCCGCGACGTGGCGCGGCGTGGCGCGGCATGGCGGCGGCCGTCAACCTTATCCCCTACTATTTCGGGAGACCGACTCGACTCCGGCAGAGTCGACGCACCCTGTCACCTGCTGCCAAAACAAGCGGCAGGCGCCGGCCGGCCCCCCTCCCCTCACTTGTTGGGCGGGGCGTCGCGGGGCGTCGCGAACAGACCGCGGACACGAGAGGGGCCGTCATCAATGCGGATCAGCGCGAAAAGGCGGAAAGTGGCAGCGAGGAGCGAGATGAGGCCCAAAGAAATCAGAGAGGCGCGGGGAAACACATCGCATCGGCCACTGCTCCCCTCCCCTCCCCGCCGGGCCTGCACGCCATGGACGGCACACCTGTGAGCGGGGACTACCGCAGTCAGCACGCTGTCGCGCGCCGACGGCCGCCCCCCGTTTCGGCCAGGCCACAGGCCGCCACAGGCCACACGATCGCGTGGCGTGAGTCAGGCGGGCGGCGACAGCAGGCAGAGTCAGGTAGAGCACGCACGCCCACGTCACGGCACTGCGCCCTGCACTGTGTCGTGACGTCACGCGCCTCATCACCCCCTTCTTCGTTATCGCGGCGCCACTGCCGATATGGCCGTCACGGCCCACGCGAGGGGCGGCGCGGACGCGACGCGGTCAAGGAGACGAACTGCGTGCATCCCCCTGCCCTCCCCCCTTCCCCTCGCAGTCACGCCGGACACGAGTCATTAGGCACAGGCGGAAGCTGGACAGCCTGGACAGCCTCGCAGTGTAGGCGGCACGGCGGGCCGCGGCTCGCAGAAAGAAGGGGTCCGAACCGCCGCCCCCTGCTCTGTGCTATAGCAGCCACTGCGTCAAATTTAGTTGCGGTCATAGGCCTTCTTCGACGCCTTACTATTATGAAGACCCTACTCTTTCATGCCCCGCCTCGGGAAGGCTTTGACCGCTGATAGTTTGGGAGCAGTGGTCTCGCAAAAATGGTCAAAAAGTAAATGAATTTCAGAAACTTACCGTTTTTGCTGACTTTGAGCGGTCACTGCATCCAATTTAGTTGCGGTCAAAGGCCTCCCTCGACGCCTTACTATTATGAAGACCCTACTCTTTCATGCCCCGCCTCGGGAAGGCTTTGACCGCTGATAGTTTGGGAGCAGTGGTCTCGCAAAAATGGTCAAAAAGTAAATGAATTTCAGAAAATTACCGTTTTTGCTGACTTTGAGCGGTCACTGCATCCAATTTAGTTGCGGTCAAAGGCCTCCCTCGACGCCTTACTAAACGAGACCACCATGAGACCGCGGCGGGGTGACCAATAACGCTTGGAGAAAGTGTCCCGAAAATAAGCCCAAAAAGTGTCCCAAACTCTACTCCGAAAAAAACGGCAAAAAGACTGAGGGCCTTCCCGTCCGCTCCAGCCAGGCTCCAGCCCCACCCTTTCCTTCTCGCCAAACTCGGACATCTCGAGAAGTAATCACGCCGCCCGGAGATATATCGCACTTTTTACTTCCGTTCCACTTCTGCCCCTCCGCACACCGCCACCACCACCACCGCCCGCAAAGCGCTGCAGTGCTCCATTTTTTCCCTCCCTCATAACGAGGCAGCCCCCACGCCCCCACGGCCCGCCCCCGGCCCGCCCCCGGCCCGCCCCCCGGCTGCTGGCCAAGAAGTGGTCGGGTAGCCACCCCTTTCCGGCCGCCGGGCTGCGGGGGCCCACGGGGCGGCCGCGACGGCCCACGGGGGAGGAAGGGCTCTCCGTCGCACACGCACACAAAGACCGTCACTCACCCCGTCCGTCTGTCTGCCGCTCTCTCTCTCTCTCTCTCTCTCTCTCTCTCTCTCTCTCTCTCGCTCTGCCACGCTCGCACTGCATGTGTGTGAGGGCGAGGGAGTGGGGGCTGAAGTGTCCGTGCGTCACTTTGGGACTGCTGGGGGTGACACGACGATTGCTCGGGGGGGAGGCCGCGAGGGGGTTGCGGGGGCTGCGGGGGCGGCCGCCAGGGAGCGGCGTCAATGTAGCCGCCCCCGCATCCCCCGCACGCCTTGGAAAAACACCGCTCTCTCTTTCCCTCCTTCGTTCCGCATATGCGAAGCCGCGCCGAGGAGCGGCTCAGAAAAAGTAAATAAATAAA